AATAGAGAATTGGAAGGTTTGTTTTAGTATCAACTTTATAAGAGCTCATACTTACGTTGTCTTTATCTGCAAAAAAAGCCTCAAACTCCTGATTCTTAACTTCTGATATTCTATTTTGAGTAACTACAGGTTTTTCCCTTGCAACACAACCAGGACCATTAATTTGTGAATAAATTTTTGCAGCAATTATCATATCATTTGAAATCTAAAAAATTTAAAAACAATTTTGTGTGAAAACATATCCACCAATTTCTGCAATGTTACACGATTTCAGGCTGATTTTGGGGCACATTTTCGTTGTTTTTGTTTTGTTTTAAGGTACATTTTTGATATGTTACACCATTCTTTATCTAAAAAAAGTAATTTTTATATACTTTTGTTATTATTATGTTTGTTGAGATTCGACAGTGAATTGGATTCAATAGTGAGTGAATTGGATTTTTGTAACCCCTAGATTTATATATATTAATATTTAGTTTTTTAACTTGTAATAATATTTCTAAGATTTAAATATTTTTTTGAATCAATTCCACATTACCAACGCCTTAAATCTATTATTTATATAAAATATAGATGGCATTACAGTTTACAGAATGGTGACATGTTTATGTATTGTTAATATTAATATTAATACTGTAAAGGTAATAATTTATTAGAGTTTTTATTCTTTTTATCTGTTATTATTAGTTTTTATTTTAATTTTTGATATATATATATAAATTATAGTGCAAAATCAAGGCGTGAGGATGATTCTATTAAATAAATCATCAATAAAGCTAAGTATAAAAGATCTTTATAACATTCTTTGCATATTTATCAATTGTTTTGTTGGATGGTGGTATTTTTCGAATTTAAGTAACTAATTACTTGAAAATCAAATTCCAAAGTTAAACATAGGATTTTAAACTACTGTATGTAGTATTAGGAAAATAAATAAATAAAAACCACAATTTAAAATAGGGATTTTAATTTGAGATAAGATGAAAGTATATTCTGTATATACTACAACATTTCTTAAATAATGAATGAATGCAAAACAGACAAAAGAAATTGAACATTGATTATTATTGATTTTTTCTTTGACATTAAAATGATCTTTGTATCAAATTATTATTATTTTAATAAAATTTAAAAATCTAAACAGAAGTGAAATGTAGATTTAGCAAAAAAAAGGGGGCGAAATTAGCTTCTAATTCTATATAGTAACCCCTTAGAAATTTTTATAAATGTGCCCTAAAATGTTGCAAAAATCGGTGGATATGCCTCTTGACGCATATACTAGCTTAAAAAGGAATAGACTTGGGAATAAAAAATTAGTGCCACACCAGATGTCTTGTGAGTTTTATAAAATTTGTCTTTGCAAAATCATTAAAAATAAATAATAATAACAACATAAATAATTACATCTAAAAAAAAAAGTTTTTGATTAAATTACTTTATTTTTAATAATGACGACATAAATAAATGTAAGCAATAAAAACTTATCTCCGAATCGGTATAAAAAAAAAGTACAGTATTTTGCCTCTTTACAAAAATTACGTCAACTAGATGGTTATTGGCTGTATTTTTAATTATAACAACATAAATAAATAAATGTAAGCAATAAAGTTTTTTGTCTCTACAAAAATTACGTTGATTAGATGATTGCACACTATTTATTGTATTTTAATAATAAATAAATAATGTAAGCAATAAAAACTTATCTTCAAATCGATATATAAAAAAAGTTTGTCTCTTTACAAAAATTATGTCATTAGACTATTAATTGTATTTTTAATAGTAATTACATTAATAAATGCATCTAAGGAATAAAAATTTATCTTCAAATCAATATATATATATATATATATAAGTTATTTGTCTCTTTATAAGACCAGAAATTGCTGCTTAAAGTGATGTTTATGACTAAATTTCCCTATAAGGGCACTAGCACTTACTCCAGGTAAAGGTAACTTGATCACATGCACTTCAACCATTTGCCCTTTTTTAAAAGTATCAACGAAATGCATTATTTCCACTGATAAATTTAATTTAATTTAAATCAAACATTTAAAGCAACAATGGAATAAAAAAAAAATTCCTTTGTAATATATCTAAATGTCATTACAAAAATATGATGCCCTAATACATGTACAATGTCCATTTATAAATATGCTGCGGGGAAAACTAAACATGTAGAGTTTCAACTTTTATCGAGCGTAATAAATGTTTAGTATTTAACGAATCATAAGCGAACAATGCATCCTGACTAAAGAACAATATTCGAGCACTCTTCTCCCATCACAACAAAAGCAACCTCTTTTTGACAAAATCTATATCAGATAAAGAATGATCGATTATAGTATTTATGCATATGAGAAAATTTTATAAATAAGTTTATATAAAAAAAATCTAAGCAATAATATTTACAATAAGATACTCTGCTACCACACTCCCTAAAATATTAGCTAATACATGTCAGCGCCCTAATCATCAAAAAGATGCTTGAAAATTTTTAGAAGATAAAAAATAGTAAGATGATAATGACAAGAAAGATGGAAGAAATTCAAACAAATAACAGTTTGTGTTTTTCTAATTCAAAATTCTCTTATTTCTCTATAATGTACATCACAATAAGGTTGTCCTTGGTGAACATAATATGAACTATGGAATGGTTGATTACAAGTCTTAAGAAAATAATAATAAAAATTAATTAATATATATATATATATATAATATAAGAATTTACATTAAATTTAAATAATTTGTTTACCTTGCAACCAAAACAATCACGGTGCCACTTTCCATCCAACGCGCTTGTAAATTCTTCTTTAATTGGATTTTGACAACCTTTACATTTTGGTGCTAAACAATAATAAACAATATCATTAGTTGATTGATTTAATATAACAATATACATATTTTTCTAATAGAATGAATAAATGAATGGTCTATTTACCAAATTTTTTCATCCAATCTTTTTCACAGTATGGATAACCATCATGTACCATGAAACCACCACTTTCAAATGGTCCACCGCATTCACGACAAAAGAAATGTCCTACATGCCAAGATTTTCCAAGTGCCGTAATACATTGCTAAATAAATATTTTTTAAAAAATTATATTATTGTAATGATGAATTGAATTACAAATATTTCCCTTTCTAAAATAAATAAAAATAATTTACCCCTTCAATAGGTGTATTACAATAACCACATCTTGGACTAAACAATTCATGAAAATCCAAATGACAATATGGCAATCCATCTTGTTCAAAAAAGGCAATGTGTTCTAAAGAAGTATTACATGTTGTACATGTGAAATGATCTGGATGCCATTTTTTCCCCATTGCCGACAACACCTTCCCTGTGATTGATTTGTTACAAGCTGCACATTCTATTGATGCTACATTATACATAGATGATGATGGTCTACTACTACCATTAAAAGGTTGATTATTTGATGTATATATTTTTGGTGAAGTTGGTGAAGTTGGTATTGAATTATGATTATATTCTTGATTATGTTCTGATATATTACTACTAATACTATTTCTATTGCTATTATTATTACCATTACCAATAGCGTTGTTGTTATTAATTGTATAGTTTGAATTTGAAAAATTTTTCCCACCAAGTTTTTCTGAATGAGGGAATTTCTTTTGAGTCTCATCATATCGTGGATTCCATTGTGAATTATTATCATTGTTTTCTAGTTCATTATTTAGTTGCTTGTTAAATTGATGTTGTTTTTGTAACATATTTACTGTAGAGTTGTATATTTTCTTGTTTTTATTAACTTCACTTTGAATTTGCTTTGTGGTTTGTTTAATTAATGATGGAGTCCTTGATGCTGGTCTGGAAGAAGCAGAGTACGATTTAAATGCAGCAGATAAAACATAACCATCTTTTGTGTTATTATCTATTTTTGTAGTAGATGCATTAGCAGAGATGGTTCTTTCATCAATGTTGTTGTTGTTGTTATAGCCACTGTTAATATCCGTTGATTGATTATTATTTAACTTAAAAGAAAGCTTCGTTTCCATTGGATAAGTTAAATCATTAATAAGTCCATTAATATCATTATTTCCATCAATCTTGTTTGCATCAGCTTCATTAAAATTTAAGCCTGATGAAACTGTATCTGTGGTGTTTAGTCGTGTAGAAGATGATGATGAATAAGCAGTAGAACTGGAAACTGATTCGGGAGGAGAGGATGGTGTTTTGATGCTTTCTCCAATTTTTTGACCTAGAATTGAGGTGATCTTCTTTGGAGAAGGATACACCCTTGGACCATACAAACCTCCTCTTTTCCTCTCATTTTCAGTTGAATAACCGGGAATAGAATTAACAATAATTGAAGATGGAGAGGAGGAGAAGGAAGAAGGGGGATGAGGAGAAGAGCTTAAAAGAACATTGTTGTTGGATGGAGCAGTGGAGGCTATTGGACTTTTTGGTGGTGTTATTAGACTTGAAGGTTTAGGAGGTGCTTTATCCTTTAAATTTTTTAAATAATTTGCTAAAAAAATTAAATTATTAATGGAATAATCAGTTATAAATAAATTTATTGGAGGGGCAAATAAAGTAATACTCTCAAAAAACTTTACCAAGTTCATCTTTTGTAAGATTTTTTTTGTCGTTCATCTCTATTATGGTTGTTAAAAAATTTCTAATCAAAAAAATTTGAATTGAAAACTCCTTTATTTTATATTTAATATTTTAATATAAAAAGCCATAAACGGTTAAACAAGTATGACATAATTGTACTTCGCTTGTCATATCGGGTATCGGGAATGATAATATTATTAATAATATAAAACAATTGAATATCGCCATTTATTATTTTTTCTCAGCATAACTGAAATGTTAAGAATGATCAACAATAATAATAGATGGCGGGTGGCCAAGAAGAATTGTACACTGCAGGTGAAATTATTTTTACATTCCTCATAATAAACCATGTCACAGCGGACTATAAATTCTTGTATTTTTAAATTTTCGCTTCACATATTAATATAAAAGGATATAGTAATAATACTAAACGATGATAAATATTAATATTAATGAAGAAAATAGTTTGATTGTGAGACAAGAATCGATTAAAGACACATCCCTTACAAATATATTAAAATTAATATTAATATTTTTAATATTAATTAGTTTAACCCTTTAAGTGCACCCCATCTAAGTGCACGCTTTCATTCCATCTATATAAAACTCCTCTCTAAGTGCACTCTCGTGATTTTCACATGATCGTTGTCCAATAAAAATCGTGCGACGTTATTAAATTAAAATACTTTTTCTTTAAAGAATTGATTTTTTGTAAGAGATGATAAAGAATTAATTTATAATTAGTAAAAGGTAAAGAATTAAATTTATTAGTATGACATAATTATTTTGTAAGAGATGTTCATTTTTATTAAGTGACAGGGAAATAAAGAATTCTTTCTTTTAATAAATATGAAGGTTATTAAAACAAAAGTACAAGAATGCAGACAAAGAAGCTTATATAGTTGAAATTATTATAAATAAGACATGAATCAAGAATCTTATTTAATAACTAAACTCTTGTAATCAGCTTTAAAAATAAAACTTCTATTATAAATTAACCTTATCATTAATAAATTAAAAATAATATATACTCTTACATACCCAACCATCTAATTTTTTGCACTCACACTCATCTCATTAAATATTTTATTCATTTATTGCTTCTAAATAAAATTTCTGTTGTATGTGAAATTGAAATTATGTGAATTGAAATATTATGGAGTGGGTGAAATTCTGATTGGTTAATTTGAATTTCACATATGTGAATTGCAAATTCACATAATTTCATTTTCACGTATGTACAACATCTCCAAAAAGAGTAACTTTATCTAATTCTCAAAAATATGAATTTTGTTTATTCTAGTCAACAAATAAAACTGGTTAATTTCTCTTGATAGATATATTAGTTTGAAAACAATAAATAAATGAGGCCAACTACAATAAAATCTTATCTTAATCAATAATTATATAGAATTTTTTTTTTTAGTGATAATGTTATAGTTAATTAATAAATTTTTATTCTTTATTGGAGTTACCTGCAACCAATGAAATGCTAAGTGCGCGCTATAACAGGAGAGACCGTTCTGGGAACACAAAAATTAACAGGAGGGAACACAAAATTTTAACCCATGCGATTTGTTGATTGACCAATTAAAATTGTAGAAATAAATATGGGTTTGATTCATTTTGTCAACAATTACTTCACCAACAATTGTTTCATTAACGAATTTAAGAAGTTGGAAGCAACCATTGAAATAGTCTAATAAATTAAATTGTACTACTTGAAAATGTATTTAAAGGGTTGGTTTTTGACTTGGTTGAAGAATAACTCTTCTCATGACCATATCTCTCGATATAATCAAAATAACCTTAATATAATGAATGAATGTCAATGAAATGATTGTAAACACAACAATTTTAAGATACATGATTGAACAATGTGTGAAAAATCAAACAAATTTATTTAATAAAAATAAAATTTACAACCCAAAAAATTTTTTTTGCATGTTCTAATAAAATTTCCATTGTTGCTGCATCATCAACTGTATTTTCATTATTTTCAATAAATTGATTTTCATTTAATATTTTCATCATACTTTCTTTTAGTGTGTTGACATTTTTTTTGATTTTGACTTGAAGATAGTCCAAGATATCAACATTTAGATTGACACCTTTGTAGACAATGATTGTAATAACATGAATACACTATATACAATTATTCAAATTAGTGTAAAGTTTTAGTAATTAAAGGATACTGATTTTTGTGCTTGATATACTGATAGTATCAGATTGTCTCTGGACGTAAATCTATAATAATCGTCAACATTCAACATGAATGTGCTTTTTGTAAGTGCATTCTCTACATGTTTCTCATGCTCATCTGCAACTTGCTTCTTTTTATGATCTACTGCTCTTGATGTTGCAATTGCTCCAAGACTTGTATCTACCGAGTCTAAATAGAACTTAAAAGAGTTAATTTTTCTATTATTTAATGAAACAAGAAGATAACACATGAATATCACCATTAATCTCTTCATATGGTCCATCCATTATTTGTTCATTATGTTCAAATGGCCGAGCTGCTAAATAGAGTTGGTCAAAAAACCCCTTCAAGCTTGGTTCTATTTCTTGGAGCAATCTTGATATTTCATCAAAAATCTATATAGGACTTGATGGCCCTAGTGAAATCAATCTTCACTTACCTCTTCCTCTTCCCCTTCCGCATCTGTGGTTTTACTCTCCTATGTTCTCTTTTTAAGATTTTCTACAAAATTCATATAACAAATGTTACATAAAACAACACATTACTTTCACTAAGTTGTTGTTCTCAGTTTCTTTCCATTTATTGCCTTTCAGTTGATGAAATTTGGCTGATTTAATGGTTTTACATTCTGTGCAATGTTTAATTTCAGACATTTTTTCTTCAAGTAAATTGTATTATGAAAGTTGTGGATTCAAAAGATATGATAACAACAAAGTGTAAAGCTTCAAATTTGTGTAATTATTTACACATGATTTATTGCAATAATGAGCAATGTAATACCCTTGTAAAAGTATTTTAAACTGTATAAAAAATTGAAATCAATTGTGAAAATCCATTCCTTATATAGGACGGTCTCTCCTGTTCCCTATTACATCAAAAGAAAGTCATTACTAAATTTGGTCATGAAATTCAAAATATTGTAACACGAAAATTTCTGAGGGGAAAATTTTGTTGATCCCTGTACCTACCCTTTTTCGAAAAATCTTGAGAAGTCAAATTATTATATTTTTCAATTTTTAATCAAATGGGGCATGCTGCAACAAAACCAGACAAAATGAACATTGGTATTACCAAAGATTTCAGGGATCAAAATTTAGTCATTTGTAATGTGATCATAACTAACAGCTTTATAATATCCCATTTGTTATTTTAAGTGATATATAGTACTACTCCTATATAAAATAGTTAATATGAAACTCATTTACATCAGATCTACTATGGAACCCAAGAATTATAGCACTATCAGAAGTATTTTAAAAAAAGAACAAGGTGAAAAAATTGCTCCTTATATTTTCAAAATAAATGATACTAAGACACTGGAGGCTTATCTAAGAAAAGAAGGGATAACTTATGAAATTTATCAAGAAGAAAGAAAAATAATCAATGTTGGAAAAAGAAAGCATCACGATGATGCATTATTACCTAATAAAAAGCAAAAATCCTTAAAAGGAAAATAACTATCATTTTCTTTGATAGTTGAAATGAATTTCAGTTTATATAGAAGAAAATATTTCCTCAATATTCTTTAAATTACTTTCCTATTTTCAATCAAGGTCATTTTTTAGTTTCTTTAATTTCAATTTGAGCAGTTAGTTGAGTCTGCTGTTTCTTTAATTGTTCAACTTCACTTTCAAGTTTTTGAATTTTATCTAATAATTCTTGCTTCTGCTTATTATGCCAATCCTTTGAAACTTCTAAAGCTTCCAAATGAGAACCAATTTCCTCCTTAGCACTGGATAGTTGCTGTTTTAAGTCTTTATTCTACTGTTCTAATCTGCCAACATAACTCTGTGCCATTATTTCTGTTATGGTTGGGGTTTTGACTGATTCATCTTTCCTTACAGGGTGTTAAGAAAAAAACAGCGGTTGATAAAAATATTGTTTTTAATAAAAAAGTAGCCAAAATTATATGATAAAAATTACAACAGAGAATCGGAGGATCTTAGATTATAACATATGAAATTTTTGAAGCATGTTAATATGTAGGCTTTAGAGCAATTATTGAAGAAATTTACACATTAAATTGTTTTTTTCAAAATAATCAAATTCCTTTTATTTCCAATTGACAAAATTCTAGAAAA